CGTTTTGCCTTGTGAGAAATCTGCTGTGACGTACCCAAGATTTATCTGCCGCCTTTGGGTTCCTTCATACTACGCCGCAGGAAGCAGTGTTCGCGGCGTGGGCCGCAGGAATCGCTCTGATATGTTCGGCAACGCTTTTGCGCTGGTTATATACGTATCTCTATATTTCCTGCACGTTCGTGTTCTCCGAGAGCGTTCCTTCACTGCATGCATCTTGTCTCATCGTTGATTTTTCACTCTGGTTCACAGGTGCGATAGTGTGAGACTTTTCTCACCCCCTCTTCACCCCTGAGCCGGGAACTAGGTGACCCCCTTCACCAAAAACCGAGAAAAAAATCAACAGTAAGGTAAGGTTAAGCAAATGAGATAGTTGTGCGTGAATTGTCAATGTATAGGAAAGGAGAAGTCTGTTGAAAAAAGTGCTTGGTGACGGGTGTGAGTAGTGATTTCTGGAGATTTTTGAGTTTTTGATATAAAATAATTCATAAATTTTGTAGATGAACATCTTTCACGGCGAGATGGTCACCATTAGAACCGCCTCGTTCTACGCTTTCAGAAAGTATACAGCATGTTTGAGATCCATTTGAAAAGTGCCTGGTGAAGGATGTGCCTAGCGATTTTTGGAAATTTTCGAGTTTTCAGGATAAAAAAATCCGTGACTAGTGCAGATGAATAGCTGTTGCAAGGAAATAGTAACCATTGGAACCGCCTCGTCCTCCGCTTTCAAAAAATATATAGCGTGTCTGAGATCCATTCAAAAAAGTGCCTGGGTGAAGGGTGTGCATGGTGATTTTTGAAGATATTCGATTTTTTATCCTAAAAAAATTCATAACTTTTGTAGATGAACATCTTGTACGCCGAGATGGTCACCGCTGGAACCGCTTCGTCCTCCGCTTTCAGAAAATATATACTTTGCCTGGGGTCCGTTGAAAAAAGTGCCGGGTGAAGGGTGGGTGAGACTTTTATAATGGGAGTGCTCAAGTACAGGCTTCTTTACCATTGTAAAAAGGCGGCTACTTGAGCACCCCTTTTATAAAAGTCTCACCCACCCTTCACCCGGCACATTTTTTAATGGATCCCAGACAAAGTACATATTTTCTGAAAGCGGAGGACGAGACGTTTCCAGCGGTGACCATCTCGGCGTAGATGTTCATCTAAAAATGTTATGAATTTTTCTATGTTAAAAACTCGAAAATCTCCAGAAATCACTAGGACACCCTTCACCCAGGCACTTTTTTCAATGGACACCAGGTAATGCATATATTTTCTGAAAGCAGAAAACGAGGCGGTTTCAATGGTTGCCGGTAAATTATGTTCATCTTCAGAAGTTACGGATTTTTCTAACCTAAAAACTCGAAAATATCCAGAAATCACTACCCGCACTCTTCACCAGGCACTTTTTCAACAGACTCCAGGCAAACTATATATTCTCTAAAAGCGGAGGACAAGGTGGTTTTAAAAACATTCACCTTGCTGACCTTGCTGTTCATCTACAAAAATTACGAATTTCTTCTTTGAAAAAAATTCATAAATGCTTAAAAATTGTCTAACTCTTTCCGAAACAAATGTTCTCGCATGCACATCATCTATAGTAATTCCAAAAACAGGCAGGGCTAGTAAAAAAGGGAAAAGGAAGTGTAAAAAAATACAAGGTGCTGGTCAGAAATATAATTGTGTGCTAATCCAGCAGCGTATCACTTCACATTTCAGAAAAAAGACAAACAGTGATGGTAAGGAATTGGAAATTATGAACTTTGACTGGGAAAAATGATGGCTCCCCCCCTCCCCCGTCGACATTTTATGATTTCTCTACCAAGTAAAACACCCTTCACCCGGAGGGGCTGCGACCACTGTGACTCCCTTCACCCTGGAGGAGTCATTCTCATCTTATCGCACCTGTGCTCTGGTTGAATTGAATTTGTGTGCTTCCTCCAGCAAACTTATCCCCTCCAGTTTTCTCCAATTTCGCCTTACCTCCGCCTATTAGTATTGCTTATCGCTTCATTTTGCCGTGTGTCCTTCAAAAGAAACTTCCCTGTATGTTCCGCTTTCGCTGTTTCGCTTTCATAGCAAAAAGAAGTGATAAGCGATACTAATAGGCGGAGATAAAGCGAAACTGGAGTAAACTGGACGGGAATGAATTAGCTGGAGGAAGCACACAAATTCAATCCAACCTGAGTGAAAAATCAGCGATGAGACGAGGCAAGAGAGAGGAAGGATTGCACGCAGTGAAGGAACGCTCTCGTAGAACACGAATGTGCAGGAAATATAAGAGACACGTACATAACCAGCGAATAGGCGTTGCCTTGAACGTATTAGAGCGATTCCTGCGGCGCACGCCGCACACGCCGCGTCCTGCGGCTTAGTATGAAGGAACCCTTTGGTTCAAAAAGAATTTCGCAGCCAAACGAGACTGTACTAAAAAAACTGGCATTAATAATTCATTGTACCTGAACTGTGGATAGAGTTTTCATGGAAGTATGCGGAAAAGAGCCCAAAGTGACATCAATATCGTTTGGTAAAGCGAAAAAAGTGATAAAATCGGCTTTTCAAAGTTTCTTTGGCACTCACCACGCACTCCCATAATCTGGTAGGTCTCTAATGCGTGCCATGACTTGCAAATGACTAATTAGTGTTCAATCCTCCCTCAGTACAGCTTTGGTCCTAAAGCAGGGAATACACCTTGATTACGCGTATTCTTATATAGAGTATGCGACTAATGAGGCTCTGCCTTTTTGCACAGCAACTATGATCGGGCGATTAGCTCTTGTCTTTTGCGGAGCGATGACCTAATACTTATCGTTTCTGCTAATCGTTACTGTGGGGTCGGCGACTACGGCAACAGTTGTGGACGTTGCCTGGAATGGCCGAAAAAAAATGTCGACCATCTATATGTCATGCCCCTGTTTGACAAAACTTTGTTCTCAGAGCCCTCTCATATATATTCATATATCACCCTACTGCAAGCTGCCCAATTGCATTTTTTATGTTTATTTCCTTTCTAATTTTGTTTTCCTTAACTGACGACAACGTGACTCATATGATGGGTCATGCAATGACTGTGGTTCCAGAAGTTCTGTTATGCTCTATTCCCGGTAATTACTTCCTCGTTTCTTGGCTGCTTCTCGAAATCACTGTAGGGATACTGCAGATGACGGCCTGCGTGATTTTAGCTGAAAATACTCAACTTATTTGTAGAAGACATTGTCCCACAAGGCAGACAGCTAAAAATGCATGTCGTCAACATTTTAAATTCCTACTCATAGATACTACTACTGTCAACTACTGTCATGCCTGCTCTATGCACAACACCCTTTCTGCATCTCCGGGCAAATGATATGTACCGGCGCTTGAGCCAGAGGCAAAAAAATGTTTTCAGAGGCATCATTCCGGCGTCAGCAAGTACTTTATCGAGCAACATTTCTAAAACTCCAACCCTCTTAAATTCGTTGCTGCCCACGCACACTCCTTAAGCACTGTTGATGTTCGTGATGGTTGAGCCAACGTATGTTAAGGTGAACATTTCGCACGTTGTAGAAACAACAACGGATTCCTATAACTTGTCAACAGATCGGACAACCCATATCAAACGTATTTACCAAACAGGTAAGCTGATTTGCTTCTGAAGGCCAACATAGCAAATGCAGATTCTCTAGAGACAGCTATAATACAAGATTTAGTACCACAATCGCAACACCGGACGGGTGCACCACTTCCCTTAACGTTGAGAACTAAAATTATAATTTCCACAACAGAAGAAGGTAAAGATGATGAAGACACCACTACATTGGTAAGACGTAACCACTGCAACTGCACGTACACCAAAAACGAAAAAATTCAGAAAAGAACAACACCCACAAAAAAAGAAGTACTTTCGCCACAAAAATCGTAGGATTATCCTTGTTAGGTTTAAAATGATGGGAGCGAGAAACTGACTGCTTATAAAACCTTTTGTAAGCAAAAAACGTTAGAGAGCATGAACTATGTCGCGGCCCAAAAAGAGAAGTGTAGCTTAGATATTCGGCCACAATCCGAGATTTCTAAAAGAATTCTAGCACATATAGATGGGATAAATAATCCAACTACTGGGAGTATATTTATCAAGCTGACAACTGCTCCCGATCTCTGATCAAAATCTGTTGTCACTACATTATAAATAAGTATGACTTTGTTTACATTATGAACAAGTATTAAGAAATTAAAAAACAAATATTTTTGTTTCTATTTTCATGTAATAATTTGACTTGCTCTACTACTGCATGCCTCAATGATGCCAAACATGAGGTTATGAGGATGGTAATATAGCTCTTGATGATAAAAGATTTTGCTTGAGCGGCAAGTATCTATCAGATCACATTATATAATATTTTGGTTTTTGCAACCTTCAATTTTTCGACGTAGGTTTGATTTTCGAGCAGCAGTTCTACAAAGCCATAAATTCAATTTTCACTTATGAGAGTTTGTATTAGGTGTAATAACACAAAATTTGAAGCTCAGGACCGCTAAACAAAGTTAATTTCAATATTTTCTCTTCTTTTATCTACCTCTACCAACAGCGTAGTATACGGATCACATGTAATTACTAAGTTTGATAATGTGCACGCCGGTTTTTATTAGTGTGAACATTCTTTTTAACATCATCTTATATAGCTTATTTTGCTCTGCAAATTAGCACCTCTACAGCAAAGTTGCCATACCGACTTGGAAAGACAATTTCTTTATAATTACAAATTCTGACTAATATGCAGCGTCCTTCTAGCTGATCATGTTATTTTTAGACAAAACCAACAACAACGACAAGAGCAACGACGACGACGACAACAACAACAACAACAACAACAAAAAGAACAACGCCAAAGCCAGCTACAACCACAACAACAACTACTACTACAACTACTACAACTACTACTTCTACAACAACGATGGCAACTACAACAACCAGTGAAAAAGGTATTCATGAAGCGTTACTTTTTTTAAATGTAAAACATGCATAGAAACTACTCAAATGGAATCCTCCTCATTTTCAACCTCGTCTGCGCAGCCCAAACCTGCTGAAATCGGGCAAACGACAAAGGCTGTGCAAACTAAAGTATGTTTATATATCTAATTATTGTTATTAACGTTTAAGTAAGAATGCGGTCGGAGAGGGGAGAGGGGAGAAGGATGTATGCGCGGTCTTTTTTGAGTTTTCTGTAAGAAATGGAACACTCCAGTGAAAACTGTTCTTGACTAATGTCACGTTTTCAAAAAGACTTTCACTTCCTTCAAAAGAACTTCGAAAAATTTACAACCACTGGAATTCCTTGAAAAATATTTTTCCTGCTTGCTTCATTCAAAGGTAAAGTCTCGGCAAAGTTCGTTCTTTAATTTTTTACCTTTTTGGAGCCTTCTCGCTATGAGGAATCCATTACTGGGCTTTTCAACGCATGGAAATGACGAAAATAAGCTTTTTCCGAAACTTTCCAGGTCATTCAGTAAAGATACCCAGGAAGTCTTCCGCGTCCCGCCTCCTCTTATCCGGCCCAGTCCACTTGCACGTATTCTCCATTGAACAGGACCTAGAAAGCTTCGGAAAATAACTCATTTTCGCCAACTTCATGCGCTAAAAAGCCCATATAGCTTATGACGATAAGGCTCCGAAAAGGTGCAAATCTAAAAAACAAAATTCTGCCGAGACACTCCTTTGAGAAATATTTTTCAACACTTCAAATTTTTCCGTCCCACCTTTCCAAAACAGGGAGTCCTTGTATGCTTATGATGATTGGCGGAGTTCGTGGATTTTTTTATTCCAACGAGTAAGTGCATTAGATGTAGGTTATATTCGAGCCCATGAGCAGTGGACTTTAAACATTCAAACTCAGTTTGATCCAGGAAGCTTACCTTTTTAAACGAGTTCGAAGTTCTGAAGAAAATTATACTCTGATTCCAGATCTGTTTTCATTATCTGCCAAACGCATGTGGACGCCGAGTTCTGAGTGTTGGACGCAGCAGGTAGAATCAACCATTAAGCTTTTTTTCAGTGTTGAGTATGAGTGTATTAGATATAAGTTGAATATTGGATGAAGTGCTATGATAAATTCTGCACAACTTTTGTTCGAGTTGCGCATCCAAGTTTTAAACCAGAAGCGCTCATAACTCGGGGTCCAGGGCGTTTGGCACGTGTTAAAGACAGATATGGAACCATCTCTCATTGCTCTTCAATGTGATGTGGAAGTCACATAAAAAGGCCACTTCGACTAATTGGGCCTCCTTGTTAGATACTTACATGGTCTGCCTTCACGTGACGGGCGCGTCTCAGCATAAACGTTTCCAGTGGTCCCTATCCCTCACTTTAGACTCCAGGATCTTCTTGATTGTCGTCGGTGACTGCGTCCACAAGTTCCAGTGTGAAACCGTATTCAGCTGTAATCTCAGCTATCCATCGTCGACGAACACGTGCAGCTTTCTTGGGAACTACTGATAATGGGCCACCAAGAAAGCTGCACTACCTGTCTAGTTCTTGGGTAACCGGTCGTGTGTGAAATTCATGTATACAATTTGAACTTCCGTTTTCCCTGATCTTATTATATCTCATTCAATACACTCATTCTACTCTACGTCTACCCATTTCGTGGCGGTCTTTCTCGGGAGGTTTCGCTTCGCGAGGAATCCACTTTGATGTTTTCAGTGTCATCTGCCGTCTATTTTTCTCATAAGGTAACCCGTCCAGCAATGCTTCGCTTCCGCAATGGAGGCCTTCTCATATCCGCACTGTGAAGTCCGGCAAGATGTTGCTTGCATAGAGTCATCTTCTGAAAACTGCGCTGAAGCGCTCTGTGGATGGACCTTGAAGCTTTCTACGCGGCTACAGTGTCAGCTCAAGTGTCAGCTGCGTAACAGAGCGCAGGGGAAACGGTTGAGTCGAACAGGTGGGCTTGAAGCTTCTTATAATGAAATATTTGAAAGTGCATTTCTAGGTCTTTACAAATAGTAGTTCTTCGATTTCAAGGCAAGCAATTCGTCAACGAAATATGGCATTTTCGAGTTTTTGGTATTCTCCTTGTTTCTAGGGTATTATGTAAAGTGGCACGTATATAGTATTAAGAGACAAGTTCATGTATAAATGCTGAGTTAGATGAGCTGAGGATTGGTGCTAGCTCAGCTGGCACAAATGTTTTAGCTTGTGCAATGAATTTTGTAACAACTACCCTATTTTCAGGTGTATAAGCCGCGGGGTGGTCCTAGCTTACATCGACCAGCCCAAACACATCAAAGGACCTCGCAATCAAAGAACCCTACACCGTGCTGCGTATTGCCTGAAATAATCGTGCGGCATAAAAATCGCTTCTCGAAACACAATGGAGCAGCTGAGCAGCTCGTGGGAATATTTGAGAAAGTGGTGCTTAGGCACCTGAAAATAGGGTTTTCTTCCTGCAAAGTTTTCATCGATTTCCTCCCAGCCATAGTTTAAGGCCCATTGCGCATGTGCGTTTAAACTTTGGTGTCATGCCATTGCCTTTTTCTTCTAAACTGCAATAATCTATCTGGGCCACAGAAATCGGCCAATGTGCGAGGACGTGTTGAAACTTGTATCGAAACTGTTGAAAGCGTGAAAGAGTGGTTTACCAGAACTAAGTTCGATGCTAATAAGTATCTTTGCATTTTTTCGGTCTCCCTCCGGACCTGCGAAGACACTTCTTTTTTGCTTATTTTTTTGAAAATGAGATTTAGCCTTTCCCGTGTATGTGCCGACCCCTAATCCTTATCATGGTTTATCTAACGAGTATGATTGGTGTGTTTTGTTCCAAAGATTATGGGGTTAATTCTAGGATTTGGGGCTAGCATCTTCGAGAACTGTCGAGACAAGCAAACTACCAACCTTAAAGGCAGTGGCTCGGGATATTTGGGAGTGCGAACTTCGCCCAACTGCCTGGCCTTTTGGATCCGTTAAGTCCTTTATTGTGCTTGAAGTCAAAAAAGTCCTTTTTATGGCGTTTTCCGGCCTTGAAGATCGCTGAGCGGGCTGGAGCGGAGATTCCCGCCCATCGAGTTGCGATTAACTGCCCGGGCCAATCAACCAATTGTCGCCAAGATGAGTGGTGTTATGGTCTCTTGCAGCCAGTCACCGTTTCTGGAGGGAAACTCCGCTTCAACCCGCTCAGCGATTTCCAAGGCTGGAAAACGCCATAAAAAGCACTTTTTTGACTTTTCAAGCACAACTCTGGTTTAAGCGCATCTAAAAGGCCGAGGAAGAACAGAGAGCGCGCAGTTGCAAATTTCCGAGCCACTGCCTTAAACATATGATATGTTGCTCAGATAACTTGTAAAAGTCTGAAAATGCTGCTGCACTGCACTACTCCCGATGATGTGGTCGTAGGCGTATTTGATAGCTTACGATTTCGAAAGAAAAAATTGGTACCCTTTTTGCTTTGGTCAGGAAACCAGAGCAGAAGATGGCGCTGACCGGCGCTTTTTGTAGGGCTTTGGAAATGTGCACTGTTTCGATGTAGTAATATGGTGGTGTTGAAAAGCTATCCGGGTTTGTCTTCGATTTTACTAATCAATGAAGTTTGAGTTTTTGAAAAGCACACACTACAGACGGAAAGCATAAGTGAAAGGAACTTACAATCAATACCAAATTCATCTTAGCAAATTTCCGGCGTTTAATTTTCCCTAACTATCCGCAGTTGGACTCAGGACGATTCAGAATCAACAACATGCTAAGATAAGAAAAGTTTTTTTTGATTGCACACCAATAGTACAGGAATCCAGCAGTTTCTTGCGCATTTTAAGTATGTAAATATCTTACTTTGTTTGAGCAGAAAAGGCGAAAAGAGCTAAATTCTCTCAGTTGGTAGAAACCCTACTCAAATGCTGCACATCCCAAGAGTCAGAAAAAAGAAAACGGTTAATTAATACATATGTATTAGGTTGGCACATAAGTTTTGCAATTTAGGTCCAAGACTTTTCTCTTCTTGGATACAGCGCTCTCATCTTTGTGGCATAGTGTGAATTAGGTAGTGAGCTACAGATCTGCGCAAATAATTTCGTTTTTTGTGGCAAAATGATAAATTTTAGCGCTTTCCCGAAGGCTGGAATCAGAACTTTTACCGGGCTAACATAATTACCCTATTTATAAGCCGCAATTACTTTCATCGCGCGCGGCCAGTGCGATGACAGGACAGTCGCGGTGCGCGAAGCCGTACAAGGCAGCAGATTGCTATGTAATTTACCAGTGGCGTACCCAGGATTCCGGCTCGGGGGGGGGGGGCGGCAAAAAAATTTTTCAGATGAAGGTGCGTGGCGTCAGCCACGCACTCCGAAAATCCAAGAATATCCAATATATCCAAGAACACCAAAGTTATTAAGCATGTCCAAAACTTATGTGCCAACCTATTATTTAATATTGCAGCTTCTAACAACGGCACCTGACGGTGGATCAGAGCATTCTATTGAAAAAGGTTCAGAATCAAAAATGGGGAAACCAGTAAAGTAGGTTGAAGGTCCATCGATGCGTGAAGACGAAAAAACTTCTCAATCATTCAGTTATGGTGCATATTTCGTGGTGTTCTTCTCCGGTCTGACGAGTGTCTCATTTGGATTTCTCAGCCTCTTCTTATTTATTGCGCTAAGGAGAACAAGGAGAGTTTCGATGTCAACCACGGCAAGTACTACGCCTCCTTACTAGCAGCCACTGTCGTCATCAAAGCACAATTTTCTTCAAATATGTGTTCCACTTATACCATAAACTCACTTTTCAAAGTGAATATTTTGTGGTACTAATGAGCTTTTGTACTTTTAAACTAATGAATGTTATGACAGTTTACCATGTTCATTTCAAACAAACATGACTACACCGGCACGAGTACTCAGGAATACGTCATGATTATACATATGAAGGCGACGACTTTTGCCCAAGCAGGATCATTCATTTCAAAGAGCAAAACTATCTTATGCCATCTACTGCGCATGGCGACACTTACGTAATACTTTGATGAATTGCACAAGTGTCATGATGCGCAATTTCTAAATGGATGTTTGTGTATATTTTTATCAGCCTTGTAAACTTGATTTACAGTTACGCCACGCGTTGATGGAGACAAGTAGTGAGAGGACGTCAAAATCTTTAATCACATGATTTCGGTCTAAGTAGAGAAAACCTATTTTGCTGCACGTAATTGTACGTAATTACCATATGTAGTAACTTTCCAGCAAACTTCCTTTGCGTCTTCGGTATCACTTATGAAAGCGAAGAATCAAAATTTGCCTCGACGTTGTTGCAGCGAAGCACGAAATCCTACGTTGAATATAGACAAAAATTGGGTACTTTCTCGTTTTCAAAACCAATTTTCCAAAGGGTTGGGACCGAAAAACGTGCTATGATTTAGAAGAGATATCATAGATTATGAAGACTTTGAAATAAGTTTGATTCGCAATCAAGATTCCTTTACCAATCACCAAATCCGAGAAATTTCCGCTTGTGTGAAATGCCTTAATCATGAAACTGATGAAGATTATCAGCCAATGGCTGACCGATTCAGAACAATTCCATATTTGCATTTACTTCTGCTAAAAAGTCTTCTCCGTTCCCATCTTCCAGCCTTGCATAAAGGATCCTACAAAAACCGAAATTGTGCGTCTTAGGCTTGCACGATCGTAATACCCCTATGACATGTTTATGGGGGACCAAAGCCACACAAGGGACACATTCAGTTGTTGCTTCTGCCTAAGCAAATCGAAAGATGAGAAAAAGGCTCCATGCCTGGAGGGCTGTTGCTGACTCAGGGTAGCTGGAGCATACGGTCGTGCAAAATGGCCGCCTCTCCCTACACTGTTGTAAAACCCTTGAGCAATCGTCCTAGCTGATGTCGTTAAATTTTGAGCTGGTTTTGAATTCTTGTCTGCCGGGCTACTTTTATTCAGCTCGGGTTGGGTACGATCAAAAACTGGTAATGATTAGGCACCAATCATTTTCAACCAATCTTAGCGATCGGCTGACTCCATCTGCGAAAACAACACTACTACCATTTCGATTTTCTAAAATTCGAAAACCTTATACATGGGAGCGCTTAATCAGCCATGACGTCGTTACATGAGGAAAATTCAAGGTTTTTACACATCAACAACATTTGATGAAATTTATTGATTGTCTCAGCTCAAACAAGATTACAACATGACCACCATGTAGATTATTTGAGAGTCGATAAGCCTTCGATAAACCTAATTGTGTGTATGTTATCACCTATGATGTCATCTCATCCGTCCTTCTGTCGACTACATCTGTTCCATACACCTCACTGTCGCGCTCCATAGCATATAACAACGGACAATCCGGCTTTGCTTCGCAGTCTCACACGGATGTAGTTTAGACCCAGTCGAGCCAGTACTGTTGCAAGGCGGTTCGGAGTTGAAGTTGGAGTTGCGCATCATCCCCCTCCCCCCAGCACCGTGAAATGAACGAGCCGACATTCACCTACACTCCCATCGTAAGATGCATGCCACAAAGCGCGCCAATTCAACTCAGCGCTGGCAGTGACATCAAAGGACGCGAAAGTCGACTTGCCTGCAGTACTGTCTTTGAGTCTCTAATATTAACGGCCAAATTTACCATTACGCGGTTCCTTTCATCCGGCTCCGACATTCAGCGATGGACGGCTAGCTCTATGTCCTTGATACGGCCATACCTTCGATAGTCTAGAGACAGGGCGTCAAAAGTGAAGGTTGTTTGAGCATCTGACGCCATAAATAGTGAAGGTTGTTTAAAGATGATCAGAGAAGAGAAAATGACAGAAAACAGATACAAAAAGCAAAAGAACTGCTGAAAATAGGATAAAAACGCTGCAATGAGGCTTCAAATCTTTCATTTGGCGGCTTTTCAAAGTGCAAGTTTTCGCTTCAGGACCAGCAATTCGCAACACGGGGTTTTAATTTTTAATGCGTCCTTTGAATTTTTACCCCCGCATTGACGTTCCTGTTTCCTGGGACGTTGTCTGGATTGTTGCACTTATTGTTCTGAGCAACAATCGCCCAAGTTGGAAAAAAATCTATGCGAAGGCATTGAAACAGAACAAGGTAAAGAAAAACGCACTTTTTACGATTTTTCGCAAAAAAATCCACAATAATCGAAGAGGTAAAGACTGGGTGGTTGTCTGCATTATGAACAGAAGCAAGATCTATAGAATGCACGAAAAAACCGGGTAAAAAGAGGTAAACTAGAAGAAAAACAAGAGATTTTCGAAAACAAGGTTTTTGCCGGATTTCTCGTCCAAATCAAGGAATGTGATTTTAGGACCTTGTCAGCGTAAAAATATAGATCAAGAGCTTCAAAATGATATATAGGTTGCTAAAATTGGGTGCGAAACGGCGAAGAAAAGGGTACCAGAGCCAAATGCCCTGCGCCCCGCGTTTGGGGTAGCGAGGTAGCGCGCAGCGCGCGGAGACGCAGACGAGCAGCGGAGACAGACCAGAGCCGACGGGGCACTTGGCTCTGGTCGTAGATCTCCGCGGGGTCTCAACGAAACCCTGTAGCATTATATATCATTCTGACCGTCATGACACGCCGAGGAGAGCTAACAACGTCCCAGGCTTTAAAAGTCACTTACTAACGAGATAGACCAGCATTTTCGTGCGCGACTCTCTGTGCACAATTAAGCGCAGTTTCTCATTTTAATTCAACTCCAACAGCTTTCCAAACTTTTGAAACTCATTTTTGGTCAAGTGGGAGGCTAAATGAGGAAGGTTGTCCTGAATTTTGAGGAAATTTTCACAGAAATTCTCTTTTCAGCGTAAAAAAGGCTTTAAAAAAGCAATTTCTCGGTTTCGCTGAGACATTCTTCAAACATTCTTTCCTATATTTGGTTCATTCACATTCTTCCGAAGTCAGGATCATAACATCCGGGGCTTCGCTTCGGATAACTTCTGTTTTTTCCTCAGGTGAAGGTTGTGTCCCCTCATAGCCCTCAAAGTGAAGGTTACCAGAGTATGTGGCTCTATGTATCGAGGGTATGGATACGGCGCAAGCCGCCCGAAACGCCTTGGTTACCCTGCAAACGCAGAATGCGACCCAGACATGATGCAATTTTCGACCACGCCAATGTATCACGTCAGTCCGTTTGAGCGATTTTACAAGATGATTTGATGGGCTCAAAGAAAAAGGAGCTGCCGCGGTACGAAAGAACGAAAGCGCAGCCCGTTCGCATGGTTTTTGACTTAATTGTTCGCTCAGCTTTTTGTCACAATGATACTGTTTGCAGTGAGGTGGGGTGTCTACGTCAGCGAAGACGGTAATGTCCCCATCTGGCAGCTTTGCCGTCCATGCGTATCACGACGCAGTTCAACTGGTTTCGCGATCTTCTGTGCTACCCGCTATCCCTTCCCACAGAAAAGGCTGGAATCCGAATTTGAAGAAAAAAGATTAGGCGTATCGCCTTTCCGGGAGGACATACTATTCTTACCTGCTTCAAGCTGGACTTCGGCAAGTTCAATAAAATTCGTTACGGCAGCTAAGCAGTTCATCACTGATGCATTGTTTATAAGGAGCAGGACCGTTTCAACTACATTCGCAATCATCAAGCGGACCTTCACGCCAATGCTTACCAGTCACTAGCTGTTCCTTTTTTCGGAGATGGTAACAATGACTACTTGGAAAGAGCATTATCTTGCCGGGCGCGGTCAAAAGTGTCCGCGCTCCATGAAGAATAGCAACAAGGGAGAGTCACGAAGTCGATGTGGCACCACAAACTGCACGCTGTTAGCGAGGCTTGGAGCATTAATTCCAAATTTATTCTTTATATCTGCAACGATTCCGGGAGAAGATTATGAGCATCCTTGCCTAGTATATTAGTAATTCCTACTTTTCCGTTGACGTCTAGAATGGCTGTAATGAATGATTGGCCATGTGTTTATTTTTGGCCTTAAAGCCCATAATCTTTTTTTGAAGGCGCTCTGCAGATAAAGAAGGCATATTTGGAATCAGCGTTCCAAGCTTACACTAAAAGTATGCAGTTTGTGGTGATCGGTCACTTCGACTTCGTGGCCTTCCTTTGCAAGACGCCATGACCATCGTCGCAAAATACCGATTTACATGTATCTCCAATTGAAGAGAGATTGAAGAGAGCCTTCAGCGGAGACAGACTGCTACCGACCGCCCGGACAGGGCTGCCAGTGTCTATAAGCTCAAGTCCAACTCTCTCATGATGCCGCTCTCAACAGAAAACTTCTTGGCCTCGTTACGGGTGCGTAGCAAGTGGTGCCCGGGCAGCCGACTGCTGCCGCAGCCAGCCGCCAGGGCTGGCGTCAGCGCAGCGCATACGGTAAAATAATTACGCTAGCCGTCTGAAACTCTCCGCCGAGAGATTTTCTCGCACCTCGTCACGCTGAGGTGCGATATATTGATATATAAAATTAACAATATCGCGCTATCCTCAGGACAGCGCGATATTGTTAATTTTATATATCAATATCTATATCATTTTGAACAGCAAAAAATATCTAGGTTATTGAGAACCATGCAAACATTTGCAAAACTATATACAGCGACAAATCTCCAAAAACGGCAGACATTTACAATCCTTTCCTATTCTAATGAATAGAAAAGAATGGAAAAAATGAAGGCACCTTGTGAATGAGCTTCTTCTGCTACCGTAACTTTTTGCACGAAATTGGCCAATACTTTTTTCCCCGCTTCCGGTGTTTTCCATGAAGACTTTAAAATTTGAAAAGCGGTTTCGTTGAAATGGTTATTAGGGGTGTTCTTTTCAATTTTGGATCGTTTTTTATATTTTGGCAGCTCTAGAAAATTGCTTAAAAAATAGAAGTATAGACAAGTAAAAAAGTAGTTCTTAGTTCTAAAAAAGTAGTAGTTCTTCTTCTTCTTCATAAGCTACATGGTCATAAGCTCTGTCCCTATGTCTATCGCTTGTTGAGCCTGGAGCTCTCGTTGAAGGCTCTGTAGATTAGACATTTTTGCTCTTAACGAGCTACCCTGCTTTCTTTTATATCAGCATATCTGTGACCTATTCAATTTTTGACTCATTTTGGCTTACTATTTATTTGACCTACTTTGGCTTATTTAGCTCTCTTATCATCACTAAATCTTGAAATGCTCATTCTAACAAACTTTTCCTGTCATTTTAGACCGCCTTTCTCCTGTTTTGAACTTTAAAAGAAAATTTTTTGATGAATACACACTTTTTGAATTTTGAATTATTTCGGCTTCTGATCACTTCAAGAATTTTTGTCTATTCTGCTCTAAAAAACTTTACTCTGTGTAAATCAGTTCAATTGCTTTTTCTCAATAAATTAGAAATTTTTTGCTGTTTAAAATGATATAGATATATTGATATGTAAAACTGATAATATCGCGCTTCTTGAGGCTGTATCGCACCTCAGCGCGACGAGGTGCGAAGAAATCTCTCGGCGGAGGGTTTTAGACGGCTAGCGTAATTATCCTACATAATTTCCGGACAACCTAATATATGCGGCTGTGCTGATACCAGCTCTGGCGGCTGGCTGCGACAGCAGTCGGCTGCCTGGGTACCACTTGCACACCTCCCTCTCGTTAGTCACGTATTATTCTTCGAGTAGCAGAAAAAAGGGTCTTCTCTTACACTCCTTTTCATTGAGAATAAAGGCATGAAGTCTCGCACAGCTGCGGACATGGATCGCCTCATCAGCTACAACTTCTAAATCCACTAAGAACGGGGCTTTCACTAGACCGTAACGCATTGATGATGCACCGTCCATGCGGGCGCAACAGGAATCTCTCCGTCCGCTATGGTGCGTGCGAAGTTTTCCAAGAAATTTCGTGACTCGAATAACATACAAGTCAACGGTTACCCCAAGTACCAGAGGCTCATCTAACGCGAACATTAGAGCTCTGCTTGATCGTGGAGGCCAAAGCATATCGAGCCGCAGGTCGAGTGCTGCGCACAACGCGGACGGACATGTTATTGATGAAATCTCCCCTCACCTCGACAAGTCTTACGTCTGTGTTGGAATCCAGAAACGATGAACACGATCAATGAAACGTCAAAATTCATCATTTTGAACTACAGAGTGGAGAAGAAATCTTACTCGATTTACCGCCTTGCTTTCCATCTACTCCAAAGACAGCTGGCTTAGGTTACCCTCCGAGCTAGAGAAGAGCGGCACGCTGCCCAGGTCCGCTATCGTCACACCACGTTGACTGCGTGGTTCAAGGCTGGTGTGGAAAGTGAAGATACAGTCAAAAGTGCTGCTATTCACCAGGGTTTCTCAGTGTCCGTCGCTAGGACTTGACGTTCAAAGATGATACATGAACTGCCCGATGCCGCGACGACAACAACTTGGCCGCATGTTCAAGGTTTGTCCTCGCAAGACGGAGCGGTACACCCTGAGACACCTTTTTATTGCGTGTTCGTGGTGTAGTTGTTTGCACAATTGCAGGTGTATTGCTTAGCCCTTCTCGTGCCTGTCGACGAGAATGGTTAAGTAATACACCCGACCTTGATGCGGCAGCCATAGCTTTCTGCCTTTTCGATGATAGCGACGCTCAAATCGCCACTTTGCGAAGGGCTACGCCCTATTCTCGACCGAATCGAATTGTTATTGATTATTCGAATAAATCATTAGAATGCGAATGATTCGAAATTTGAATATTCGAAATTATGAGATTTCGAATAATATTCGGAAGTCGAACATTCGAAATTTTTCGTTTTCGGATATTATTCGTTAGTCGAATATCAGTGGTCCAATTCGATCATTCGATGTTCATCAAATATTCAAATATTCAAAAAATCGACGACCATCAAATAATCGAAAATTTGGTATGATGGCATTACAAGGTGGCGCGAAAGTGTTGGATCGCTAATATCTCTTATACAAAAACTTTTGCCAACCTTTGTGTACCATTTTGTAGGGCTGGTTTTAGCTTACATTTGCAGCAAAGAACGAATCACCCATAGCTTTTAATTATCGTGAGAATACGATAGGAACATCTTGCATATGGAGACATGCTGTTAAGAAACATGCTGTTTGAAAGACTTCTTAAAAAGAACAAATTTTGGTTGGATTCCTCTGTTGGACAACTTTTTTGCAATTTATATACAAATTCCTAAAATGTGTAAATTAGCGACCAAAACGTGTTTTACCCCTTTACTGGTGCTTAAAAGTAGACAAATGTTTTTATTGCGAAGACGTCCTGTAAGCGTGGTGAAACAATTAGATCAATTAAATAAAACTTTATTGTCAGATTTAGCGCGGTTTCGTGAGTCTGCGTCTGGCGCTCATTTCGTTCAAATTGTTCATTTCCATACGGTTCTAGTGCTCTCTCGCGTAGTTTCACTGCATTTGACATTCCTTTCCAAGAAAGATATCATGATGTGCTTTTTTGCTTTTATGCACCAGTAAAGGGGTAAAACACGTTTTGGTCGCTAATCTACACATTTAGGGGTTTGTATATAAACTGCAAAAAAGTTGTCCAACAGAGGATTCGAACCTCCAAACATCCGCGCGGTAGCCAGTATACTTGCCACTGCGCCACATTAGATCTGCAGGATGAGGGTGGCAGTCGTATTCGAGCAAGGCGCGCTGGGTCTCAAGCGGAAAAACGCCCTTAGCTCCCCTCCCAGAGTTGTTCTGCAGCTAGCGAGGGTGATTTGGAAATGCCCTTCCGAGTAACGTGTCACACCACCCATCCCGTCTCAAACGGCCACTGCGATTTGTGACACTTCCCTTGTCAGTGGCATCACGGTATCATCGTTCAAGTGCTAATACACCTGCGTTAAACTTTATTTAGTGAAAAAAGATAGAATTTGTGTTATTTCGATATTTCAGCAACTTTTCCTTGCCGGTTATCTACAGGCAGTCTTACCATGTTCAGTAGTATGCCAATTTTGCGCACAAAAAAGCCCACAGCTCGTTTCGGAATGGCGCTCGACAGCTAGGAATAGCATATAAGGAATCTAAAGCTGATTCAGAATATATATATATGTTCTTTTCCAAAAGGCCGAGCTAATTTAGGTAGCATTCCTTCTAAGTTAAAATTCGCGAAGAATGTTTTTTAAAAATAAAAGTTTTGCCAACCTATGTTTTCTGTCCGTCTGCATCATCAGCCTTCTGCGAGCAAGCTCGCGTCAAAGCGTGTAGAATTTGGTATATAGCTCGTCAATAGAGAGTGTGAGTTACAATTTGATTTGTATCTTATAGTATTTTGACCTATCATTCTTAAGTCGAAACTCATTTCCGCACCAAATTTTTTCCCCATTTTTAATCACTTTGTGTAATCTATATCTGCTGACTGCCGTTCATCAGCTGTGGCACAGCGCTTTTTTCAATTAGAGGGAGGGAATCATAGGCGTTATGGCTAATGGAATAGCTCATATTTTATTAGTAGTCTTTGCTTTAATCTACTTTGTCTTGTGTATCGTCGAATTTCTTTCTGTGCTTTGAATTCTCATTTTTCCCCTACTACCAAAATTCTGCAAATTCTGTTTATTTACGTAAAAACTAATTAACCAGCAACTTGCAAAGAACTAGCTCACATGGAACTCATACCAGCCACCATTAGCTCAGCGGCGTCCAACATTGGCACTGGGCTTTTCGCACCGTTTGTTGCTCTCGTCAGTATCCGTTTTGATAGTGAACATGGTGAATCTGCATACCTTGCAACCTTTAACACACATCAAAGCTTGCTTATCGATTTGCTTGGCAGATGTCGCAAGAGACTGTTTTGTCTGTCGCATCTTTGCTTCGCCAGCTTTGATTCCTCGATATCGAAGAGATATCAGCAGCGCAGTGACAGTGCGTGCCATCGACGATTTCCGAAAGGTTTGATTCTAGCGTGCGCGCGCAAGTTTGCGTCGACTGAGGTACAGTCATAGCAGCATGTCCCTCAGTCGGACACGTCGTGTTCTCGCTTTCTTTACATTAGACATATTTTGAGGATTAACTGCGGGACTTGATGTATGTCAAGTTGTTTCATCATCTCGCTCTCATCGATCTTTCTCAGTCATTCAAAAACCGCGTGCGTTCGGCTTAGCGGCAGATTGGGGCAAGTGCCTGATCAGGCAATATTGGCATGCCAGTTGTGACCCAATCTACGGTTGCACGAATGAGGATTTCGCATGTAAGAGAAGAATCTTAAAATAAGCAACTGAAAAACTGACTTTACCGAAGGTGGTCCCGCACTTTTGTCCTACATCATTTTGATGTACATTGTTGATATCATAGAAATCAAATCTTTTATTATTGAGTTTATTACAAATCCATTTTCGAATTTACTTCCTTCGCAAATCATGACAAGCTCAAACCTTGGCACTGCTAGCGGCAGCGCTTTGCGTAGTTGAGCGGAGCCTCGGGGTTTTCTGAGCTGATATCATCATGGATATCAAAACAACGAGGATCGAGAGAAGAAGCGATAGTATTATTCCACAGACGAGTAGAACCACCGCGCCAACACTAGAAATACAAACTGTAGCAAAACACAATAGAAGTAACAAAAAAATGAGCTAACTTAGCTTTCTTCTTGTAGAAACCTGACTGTCCTTTAGCATCAGGAGATTCCAAATTTCTGACGGAGTCGGGCGACACTTTCTATATTTGGATATATTTCTTGACATGTTTGTGGTTGTTTTGGTTTAAATAACATCATGACTATTTTGTGATAAGAATTAACTAGATTTATGCAAGATTTCATAAGCACCATCCATTCTTATTGACGGTAATGTTCGATGTCATATAATGGAGGGGTCCCTAACTAAGCCATCTCCCAAGTCTGGCTGCAAAAAAGGATGAATTACAACCAGAGAAAACTGCTCCAGAAAGAAGCTGCACCTTGGATCTGTCCCTCAAAATGTAGGTGGTCTAAGGATAAAAAATTTGAAACCGGGCTTCAATATATCTAGAGCGTCATTAACCCGCCTTTCTTAATGGTTATTAAATTCTCCACAACTCTATTTACCCTAAAGCCCAGTTCCGAATCCCTATTCTAAGACCAACTACGTTGATGGGCGGAGCTAACGCGGCGCCTCTACCTTCTGAAGAGGTTTTCTCGCTCCAAAATTCATCTTTTCAGTGAGAAGTGAGCGATCGCTTAGTTTGAGAAATATCCATATTATGATATCAACATCCGATTACCTTCAATTTGGGTGGACAATGCCTTTGAAAATTTTCTTTCGTTTTGCTATTTGTAGCATATTGTAAGATTTTCGCAGCTTTCCCATCATGATGGCGAAAGCAGGATTTTCTGATGTTCATAATATTAGTTTGAACTTAAGAATCAATAATTCAATACACGCCGAGTAATTTGAAACTTTTGTATCTGTCCCTCCAGGGTAGTTCCCATCAGAACTGTGCGGCTTGTGACTTTCAAGCTGCCCAAACCTGACCCTTCAAGGATTCTAACCGGCAAGAATTCAGAAACCCCGTTATTTGCAGAAAATGTGAATGTAATATAATGTAATTGTAAATGCAGCCAAGACGACTGCACCGTTTTACCTTTAGGCTTGGTCGCAAAATCATACACGTCGAAAGGAGGGAGCCGAAGATCTGTTGAAACACAAAGGTGAAGTCGTACAGCGCTAGCGGAATCGCTTTTGTAAGCCCTTCAAGTGCAGTTTTCGGGAAGTAGAGCACATCGAAGTCAGGCAGGAACCTAACAAGGCCGTTCTTTGATGACATCAAAATCCCCTTTATCCCAAATCTGGCAAAGAATTTCACACCTTTCTCACCATCCGGTTTCGAAACTGAGGAATAGCGCTGCTTCTTGGTTCCTTTGATCAGTAGTTCACAAGAAAACCCCGAATTTTGCTCGAAAGAAATATGGCAAGACCGATACTTCCGCTCAGGATAGATGAAAAAATGCGCAAATTTTCAAAGCAAAAGACTAGCGACTTTCAAGGTAATTGCAACCTCATATTGAAATTGTCCCTGCCTGAACACTGAAGCAAGCTGGCGTTCCTAGCTTAGTCACGCTGTTATGATAAAGCATGCCGAGCTTACGCTTACGTCGCGTGTGGAATCAGAGTGCGCGTTGTACGCGACGTGCGCTGTTATGATGAAATCACCGAGCGCTGCGTACGCCGCGCATGCCACGCACCGCAACTTGGCCCTGACCTCTCATATGATTTTGAAAAATTCGTAACTCCTCTCTATGTAAATGCACACTTACAAAAAACATCTCCGGATATGAAATCATCTACTTCCTAAAGACAACATTGCGGCTCTTTGACGACAAGGACTCCAGAGAAAAAATTTCGAATAACAAACCCACCCTAACTCTGGGTTTTGGAAAAGAAGTTGTCAAATCTGAAACGCTGCAGAAGAATTTGCTTGGGAACTGTCTCTTACAATCTACGTGAGCTGCTTATCCTAACGGTGCCAATGGATCTTTCTGTGTTGGATTTGATAGTTAGATAGATCTGAGCTCTAGCTAAAACAGCTTTGTTATTCATTTAAGCAACTGAAACACACGCAACCACCATATTCAATACAGTGGAATCCCATGCGCGAAGTGAACATGATATTGCAATCAGAATGTCATACAGCCACTCAAGATGGAATATCGACGAAGTATGCGATCTCTATAATTTGGGCAAAATTTATGAGAACGCGTTTTCGTAGGCTCGTATCTCTGCGACTTTTATGGACTGGAGCATAAGAAATGCACCGTTCGATGACACAGTTTCTAGTAACTTTAACAACAAAAGCAAGCAGGCAAGTCCTCTGAGAGGTACGCGAAAAGTGCAGGCAAAATTACGAACTTTCATGACTCAGCTGCAGTTAACTCACAATATCTCTGCAAGAAGACCCTGTGTTCCTCAAAGGCCACGTTTTCGTAAACAGCGTGTCCGAAAACCTCTATGCGCGAAGTTTCCTTTCAATCCAAGATCATCAAAATGTTAGCCGGAACCCATCGGCAGGCTTCGGAGCGTAAAACGGAAAGATTAAAAAGCCTGAACTTCTTGGAAAACTAGCTCGTTATCTGTATCTGACCCGCTAAGTACAAAGCCTCACATCTGCTTAGCAAGATAGCTTCGTATTCTAGGGTTACGGCGAGCAGATTTTGGAACGACAATAATTTTTCACAATTCACCAGCCCTTCTAAATCCTTTGGAAAAAAATCCGCGGTCTTTTTAGCGTTCCATATACAGAAGGAAAAACGATCGCACTGGAATCTATAGGGGTGCGCTGCTTTACACCTTTGCAAAGAGACGTCCCCAGGAAGATTTAAGAATACTAAAGGAATATCAAGGATTTGCTGTATAGGCTGTACCAACCAGCATCGGTTACGGGGCGTCGCAACTGCGGCAACTTGCGATGATGCGGGTGACGCGTGCGAACTCTTTACGCGTTAGAGCACGTCGCATGCGACTGTGCGTTCTCGCAAAGCATACCAGAGCGGAATCGCCGCTAGTTGGTACAGCCTATATATCGAACGATTCGTCTTGATAAGCTGACCACATTGCTGCTTCCGGATTTAGAATATACTCACCCCGAAGGAAGTTATGGTTCTGCGCAGTTTGCATATTCGCGTGATCTCGCGAAGTTTCGGGAATATTGAGGACTTCCGCGAAATTCCTGGTCTTCCGCGGCTTCATGGAATTTTGCACATTTTGTGAGCGGTATTGTATTTGATCGATATTTTGTGCACTTAGAAATGCCGTATATATCTAGGAGTTACACTACACTCGTCAACATAGTTTACGCTATTCAAAACTCCTCTTTCAAATAGGACATCGTCTTAGTCTATGGTGGGCACTGAAGTGTAATCAGTCGTAGCTGTTCCAGTTCTTTCCTCATTGAGTAAGTAAACTTCCTGTAAACTTAAGCCTAGGTTGTGCTTGGATGTGCTTGAAGTAACTAGTAATTTATCAAGTTAATTTGAGTTCCGCCATTAATCCTGGCTTTGCTTTATCTGCAGGACCGAAAGTTCTGCCGCTCCAGATTGATCTGCTTGAATATGTGAAATTTTTTAAACTGCTCCCTGTGCGCACGCAATTTTACAATAACTTACACCAGAAAGAAATAATCGCTGCTATTAACATCTTCGCCGCTCTTTGACGACAAAGAACTGCAAAGATAAATATTAGATTAGGGAACTACTCTAACTTTCAATTTACTGAGATAAATTGTCAAAAATTTGATGCTCTGCAGAAAAATTGAAAACTTCTTTGTCTAAGCAAGCTACTTTCAACAGTCCCAAGTTTGTGCTAATCGAACTTCCTATGAAGTTATGATTTTCGAGAAAATGAGGAAAAAGTATAAAAATTATGTTTGCCGTTTTTTGCATCTCTCTCGAAAATGATGCGGGGAACCTTGTGGGCCAAAGCTCAATCAGCACAAACTTGGGCCGTTAGAGGGCACCTTACGCAGATTGTAAAAATTTTCTCAAATGTTTCTGCAGTGTTTGAGATTTTCAACGAGAACATTTTAGAATATCAAGAGCTAAAATGATTCACCTATCCGTATTTTGCCTTTGGAGTTCTTTGTCGTTGAAGAGTCGCGAAGATGTTGTTAGAAATCAGGTGCTTGATTCTTTTTGGTATGTTTTTCTTATAAGCAAATAGTTCGCATAGGAGCCATAAATTTACATATTTGAAGCGGCAGAACTTTCGGTTCAACTAGATATGGTGAAGTCAAATCTTAGAGAATGTCAAAACTTGACCCAGCCATTTAAAGATAGCTACATAGCTCGTCGGACTCACCCTTGGAACGCTAATTTCAAATATTAGGTCGTTCCAAAAGTAATGTCGCTTTTTTCAAGCGTACGCCACATCTCGTGGAACAAAGATGTATAAGATAAGTGGGTAGTATAAGATATTCTGGTATCTTTTGATGCAGTATTTCATTCTCTATCTAAAAGTTATATAACCACTGCACAAAATTCAATAACTTCTCGAAAAATTATAAAGTCTGCGACCCATGCTTTTTGAGAATGCCAAGTTTCACAATAAATTTTTATAACAACCTTCGGAAGGAGTCCAAGTAATGGATGGATAGAGGAAACCCTACAAAAAACAGCACAACTTTTCTCTACTTTTCAGAGCTCGTCATAATTTCTGTATAGATTTTTTAATGGAATCACCCAATTTTAGGAGGCTCCGTTTCAAAACAAATGCATCAAACACCAATCTTCGGATTTTGGAACTTACAAAGAAGCATTATGGTTTGACATTAATTTTACGAAGCAAATAAACATTCACCGCTTGAGATTAGCAACTTTCGAAAATTCCGGGTACAGCCTGGGGCGCCCTGAAAACCTCAAATATGATATTTTATCCTGGAAAACTTGATGAATCGAAAACAAATACAACAGATAGAAAGAGGATAAAAAGCTGTGTCGAATGACACCCGAGTTGCTTGCCAATTGTTGCTCTTTGAGGTTTGAGTCGACCAAATATGGAATTTGACGGCATTGAAAGTTGATTCCAGAAACTCTAGCAAGGGGAGTCCGATTCAAAGTGGCTTTTCCAAACGAGTCTTACACCACTTTGAACAACATCAAAGGCTGATTTCAAATATGTTCTTATTATTGCCGAGCGCCTCTGCATGCCAAGTTATGAATATTTTCTTGGTGCGAAAAAATGAGAGCATAATCTAGGTAAAATAAAATTCTAAGGTCTTTTCAGCGCTCAAATAGACAATGTTGAGTTTGTGTATTTTGAACAGAAGGTATTGTTCAAATGAAGAGTGCTCTGATAATCAACATTGGACTATCTGAGCAAATCTGACAATTTTGTGCTATATTCATTCAATTTTTCAACTCAAAAAATGCTCATAACTCGACGTCCAGAGGCGCTCGGCAAATAAAGAAGACAGATTTGGAATTAGCGTTCGATGCTCTTCATAGTCATATTAACTACACGTGAAAAGGCCACTTCGACCATACGGACCTCCCTTGTAAGAAGCAAGTCAAGAAAAAGAAAAAATTACTCTGTGTTCTATGGAGTTTACTCTATCTATCTGTCAATTGTACTTCTTCGGAGAATAGGTACAAAAATTTAGAAAAATAGCCGAATTTAACCATGGGTATGAGTCGCAGATTTTGGTAGTTTTTTGAGAGCTCTTTGAATATTATGCAATGAAACTAGAACCATTAGAAAGAGGACGAAATGCTGCATCGATTGCTTTTAACAAGAAAAGCTACCTAGCTCAGCTTGGCCTTTTGGCAAGGGACATATATAGTCTGAATCACCTTCAAACGCTGATTACAAATATGCTGTTCTTAGCTACCACGCACCGTTCTGAAGCGAGTTATGAGCTTTTTCCAGCGCAAAATTGGCATACTCATCGACTCAGTGGCATCACGGCATCATCGTTTAAGTGCTAATACACCTGCGTTAAACTTTGTTTAGTGAAAAAAGATTGAATTTGTGTTATTTCGATATTTCAGCAACTTTTCCTTGCAGATTTTTATCTACAGGCAGTCTTACCATGTTCAGTAGTATGCCAATTTTGCGCAGGAAAAGCCCATAACTCGCTTTGGAATGGCGCTCGGCAGCTAAGAATAGTATATTTGGAATCAGCGTTTAAAGCTGGTACAGAATATATATGCTTTCTACCAAAGGCCGAGCTAAGTTAGGTAACTTTGCTGATTCCATGAAATGTGGCGTTCACTTGAAAAAAGCGACATTACTTTCGGAACGACCTAATATAAGTTTATTATCTGCCGAACGATTATTTGGAAGGAGTCATGAGCATTTGAATATGTGAAATTATCCAGGTGACAACAAGCGGATATAATTCGTAACAAGGCACCCTAAAAGAGCATAATTATAGTGATCATGAGTATTCTAGTTACAAAGAAAAATTACATTCATAGAACAAGTGTACTTGAGACATTTGTGGAGCCCGCGTTACAAAATACTCAGCAAGTCGCACATTCAAACGCTCATAACTCCTACCAGTTAGTCGTTCATCAGATAATAACATATGTTTGAAATCAGCGTTTCAAGGCAAGTCCGTAAAGAAGAGGTGATGCAGAGGTGATGCACTGGTCTTAGATTATAAACGTCAAAGTTTGTGCAAATCTTGACCCTATGTTTTTTTTACAGATTCCTTTGCGGATGAACCCATTGAGCTGAAACCTTGAAAACATATGTTTTTGGCCTCGGTAGATGGTTTTAAGCTACCCTTCGAAGCAATTCGTGGAATTCTTCTATCGATTTAATGATTTTTGGCACCTTGCAAGGAAAGTGAACACTTACCAGCCGCTAACAAACTGCTTGCACATTTTGGCGTGAACAATGCAGTGAAGTTCATTTCCACTTTAAAATTAAAAGGAGCAGTCACTCCAATAAGCCTTTCTGGGGTAAGCTCGTGCAGGAGGGTAAGGGGGAGGGCTGCAGTGCAGTATTGATACTGCAGAAAAGGGGTGGAGAATATGGCCCAAAAGGACGGGAAGGTAGAAGGACAAACTGTGGTTTGTGGCCATCCCCTCAAACGATGACCCGGGCTGGACCAGGAAAGCCAGGTAGTACTGCTATAATAAGCGCTGAGGCCGCTCATCTTATTGTTTGTGTATATCTGTTTGTCAGGGAATTACGGGGGTCAAAAATAGGGTCAAAGGGGAAGGCGTAAGAAATTTTGGCTTCAAAGGGGATACCGTTTTCAAAATTCTGAAATGCCACCTCCTGCCGGGCCCTGGTGTGAAGCTCTCCGTACCACAAAAATGACCTAGTATTATAATAGACTGAACCGCCCATCACCAAGAAATCGGCCAATTCAGCGATCAGTCAATTTGCAGCACAGATTGTGAAAATAATCATAACTTATAATAACGGGCTAAGTGTGTTTATATTTTTTCGTGTGTGTGTGTCTGTCCGTTACGAAATTCGTAGAGTGTGTTAGACGACATCCTAAGCCCAAATCTGCATAATGCACGCTATCAACATGAAGCTCACCATGCAAGAGCATGAGTGAATCCGTTGAGTGGATACTCTGAAATTTGCGCGTCAAACTCCATTTGGCTTCTCTAGGAAAATTTGTTCGTAGCACTACTTTTTGCAGAGTCATGAATATATTTGACACGTTAAGTGCAAGCCACAGACACCTAGATAGTAGAAGTGCGACCCTCTGCGAATCTGAGGTGACGCACTGGTATGTAAATATTTTGTGTTTGTTTGTGCAAAGGCTTAAGGAACAAATACTGGTACAACGCTTGTAGCCACTAGCGCTGGTGTTATGGAATTTAAAAATATGACCTTGTAAATCACAGTTTGAAGTTATGAGTTTTGTAAACCACCAAATTGCACGGCAAAGTTAGCTCTGTTTATACTACTCTGTTACTACTTACTCTGTTTATTTTCCTAAATACTTAAGCAAATTCTCATTCTCCAAGGACGTCAAAAACTTACAAGGGATTGCTCCGAAGTAGCATCAAATAAGTGTATATTGTTTGATGCAGCGTAGAACACTTGGTGCGAATCAGTTTCTTGTTTTTGCCGAACGCCTTCGTTGCGTCGTATGCTATTGTATAACAAAAAAGAACCCTAATTTCACGCGTACAAGGCGCGGGGGATTTTCTTCTAAAATCCGCCAGCCCAAACACGCCACAACACTTCGCGACCAAGGAACACTATACCGGGTTCCGTAATGCCTGAGAGAATTGAAAAGTTCAAAATTCGCTTTTCGAAACACACTGAAGCGGTTGAGCGGCTTGTCTGAAAAATCGAAAAAGGTGCGTCTTATAACTGTAAAAATACGGTAGTGTATATAGAGTGCAGAACTGAACATACAGCTTTTGTCAGGCTTAAAGGCAGATTTTGTCCTGGCAGATTTTGCATTTTCATCTTTTTGAACGTTTTGGGCCTTTCCGACCCGTAGACCCCGAATCTGAGCTTTAACATGGGTGAAAAGACCTTTTTTGGGGCGTTTACCCTATTTCCAAAAGGCAGCTCGGACGAGAATTTCAGTGGAAAGTTGGGAGTTCCTGGCACGAAGACCTTGCTGCCTGTAATTTTTGCTTTGGATAACATACACAGTGCGGGAGAACAGTGGTGGGGTCCCGCGCAGAAAAATAAGCGAAGCCGTCCGAGCGCGCGCCGATTAGGGTTACTCGCGCCGGTTTAGGGGCTATTTTCTCAGCCCAGAGGGAACATCAATCAGCGGACTGCGCCTAGAGGTTCATAGCAATATCCGCCAGGGCGCGAATCTGCCGGGACACTGCCTTTAATGCCTGGCTAAGACAGTAGCTAGTTTTTGGTATATAATTCATACCTATAGGTGAGCTAAAAAGTCAATTATGTCTGATTTTGCAATTGTATGCACGATTTTCTTGCAGTAATACTGCTAATAACCTCGTTCAGCAGATATGAATGGCAGATAGAAGTTACCGTTCTATGCTTCATCCAATAGTAGGCTTGTTTCGATCGGCCAATCTTGGACTTTTATACCCCTGTCAAAATAGTTACTGCTTTGCTCTTTGAGCTCGTGGAAAAAATGTCCCAATACTTAATGCTAAGAAGCGTGATTTAGTAATGTGTTGCGTTGACTCAGTAAATCCATAAAATGCCCTATGTTATAGCCCATTTCTATGTAAATTTAGGACGAAAATTTGTGTGTTATACAAAGCTTAAAGTAGCGCTTAGAAAAGTATGCATCTACAATCTACCTCAGTATCATCATCTTCATCACTTATCGAAGAACGGGTTGTAGAGATGGTTGCATATAGTTTCTCGTCCAAGTGCGATGTGACTGTGGATCGTGCATCCATTGGAATTTTCGTATCCTTAATATGATCCTCAGGTTCTTCCCCATTGTCAGGCTCCTCTGTGACGTCGTCTTGCTGGTCTTGCTTCTTTTCGGTTGCAGCTCCCGCCACTACAGCCGATGTGGCTGCTTTTGCTTCCTTTTCTGCTTGTGACGCCGACGCTGTAAACTCTTCAGCGCCGGACATAGTTGTAGGTTTTGCAACAGCGATTGACTTTTTTCGAGTTGAAGCTGCTATTGTACCCTTCGCGCTTCTCAACGTGAATCGCTTTTCTGTTCTTGCCTGTATGTCTTTTTGTGAGGGTAGCAAAGTAGTGTGCTGTTCGAGTTGCCCAATAGTCTTCGTCACTTCCGCCGAAGCGGGTGAATTCAAATCAGTTTCTTCCTCCATATCGGAAGCATTAAGCGTTTTAGAGACATCATGCTCAGCTTGTAATGCTGCTTCCAAAGAAGGAACATTGTCCGAGGTAGCCTAAATTAACTTGCAAAGTTTTGAGTTTGTAGTTTGTTGACTCTGGCTAAGACAATACATATTGACAACCTTACCTTCGCTAGATTGAGCTTATAACCAAGTCTGCTTTCTGCGCACAGGACAGGAACCAGATAATGCTGCGTAATGAACAGAAGGTGCACGCAGATGCGCGCATGTCCTGAATAGCGCATTCTTTTTTCATCACTGCCTTAGAAACGCAATTTCAAAACTTTCATAGTATGCTAGCATTCTATGAGCCTGCGTCCAAAGAAAGAGATTGTTTATACATGAAGCTTACAAAAAATTATTGTGCTAACAAGGCATATCTCCGGTTCAGTATCTATATACTACTTCCTCCGCTCAACGTCAACTGATTTGGAACAAAACCGAACTATGAAGAATGTTGTGACTTCTAGGGTTCAAAAATAAAAACTTTGATTTGCTTGCTAAGGAACAGCACTCATGTCGGCTTTGATACTTTTTTGAGCCACTATATTAATTATTGGTGACCCCAGGTTCGTCTCACAAATGGTTTCGGGGGGGGGGGGGGGGGGGGAACCTAAGTGTGAATACAAAGAAAAATCATCTTCCTCCTTGATCCTAGACTCCTGTAACTTCTTTTTTCATTTACTCCCCGTTAGTACCTTTAGCAGCGCAAGATACACTCCAGAAGATTATTCAAAACTATATCTTCTGGAGTGTATCTTGCGCTGCTAAAGGTACTAAAGGGGAGTAATTGAAAAAATATTGAATAACTTACTGCTCACAAAAAGAAAATGAGCTTTAACGCTATTCAAGTAAAACAGTGTAGGTGGGTTGATAGCAGTTAACTGGACTTGAGTCCAAAATGAAGTTTCAAATTCAGTAAATATAGAAGGGCGCAGTAAATCGCAATAGAACATAAAGGTGTGATGCGGAAGGCGACAATGCTCAAATTTTGTGCCTTTCAAAACTCTTGGTTGCTGAAGTGACACAGCGCCAAGGTAGGGGGTGGGGGTGAGGGCAGATACATGGCTCGATGCCACAAGTAAAATTCTGTAAAAGTTAGCAAGAGCGATTTTACACTGCTTGCATTTCGCGCGCATTGTCGCCTTCCGCGTGCCCCCCCCCCCCCCCAAACATAGCACGGAGTCGAAAGCATACCCTATAAAGTTTAACGTTTTTCACTTCACCCGCAAAGATCTTTATCCGAAAGATACGACTTGGAAAGCGTGCTTATCCACAGAATTTGATACATGTATAGACGCATGGCATAGTTTAGTTAATCAGCGCGTAACTTATTGTTAGAAAGCAGATTCTATAGAAAAAATTGCGCTCTATATGTCAGAACTTTTGTGCATCACTTAAACAGCCCCAACATATGTACACCAGCGCGTCACCTTCGCTTCGCAGAGATTTATTATCCGTACGCCTTCCTAGTGCTTGCCTAATGTTGAATTTGAGACTTACCGCGCAGTGCTGAAAAATTATCAGGTCGGTCGGAAAGTTTGCGCCGTTTTTCAGACCTATCAAGTTGTTCAGTGTAATGATAGGCAAGTGCTGTAGAAAGTGTCTGATGCAGAAAATTTTCTTCTTTCTATTCGCAAATTTTCTGCCTATCTTTGATGCTCATTTGAACAACCACATGATCTCCGACCAACGATTTTGAGCCAATTCAAATTAGATATTCAATGTTTTTGTTGTAGATTCTTGGAAGAGAAAGATAGAATAAACAAAAAGTGATTTGTACAGTAAACTTTCTTGAGCATCTTCGATCGGTTCTGTAATATTTCTGAACAGAATTTCGAAAGTTTTCATTTTTGCGAAATCCTGGAATGCACAAACGCTTCAAAAACTGATAAGTTTTCAAAATTTTAGAATTTCAAAAATTTGTTATGTTTAAACACTGATTTCAAAAACAAAATAGGTTGCCTTTTCAAATTTTGAACTTCGAAACTTCCGGTTACAGCTTAGGACGCTTCTAGAAGCTGAAATTCCGATAATTTTGTCCTCGAAACCTTTACAAATCAGGAGGAAAACGTTCATCAAAAAGGAAAAAATTTCTGCACTGAATAACACCTTGATTGTGCGCTGTCTCATTTGTGAGGTTTGGGCTGCCCAAATGTGAAATTTTGTAGCATCAAAAGATGGTTTTAAAATTTTAACAAGGCAGCATAAAAGCAGAAAAGTGCGTTACATTGCACTATGTTTACTCCATCCAAAAGCTATCAAAGCTCTTCCAGATAACCGAAATAAAAATTTTTCTGAAAATTAGTCAGATTAAGGGCAGATAAAAAAGATGGGTTGGATATTCTGGCACGGAAAACAAAACGTGACCGCTGGAAAGAGAAAAATATTCTGCACTGAACATCCTTCAAAGTGTATAGATCTAACGACGGCACGAACGCTCGGGACAATTTAGTATAAACCTAGTTTCAAAAGATTCTATAAATGAAATCCTGACTTTGGCAGGAAGAAGCTTCTGTGAAGAACATATGCAGGTTTGAATCACTTGTTAGAATTAGTACGGCTTGAGAGCAGCCATAGGAAAGTGACATTGTGAGCTACATCATCCTGAAAGAATCTTAAATTTCCACTCAAGGCTTTGGCTAATTGGCCATACGCAATAACTCCCTGTCGGCATCGTTACCGAAAAAACGTACTTTTTTGCCACCTTCAAACTAAAGTCTATGACTTGCACATATACTTGTGAAAGAGTCCACGACTTAGCAAAAAGTTTTGTACGCATCAGTTTTGTGGGAGAAAACTCAGACAATCATCGGTAGTAGGCGAGCATAAAACACAGGACACCGATTTTTTGCCCGCTTCCAGAATTCTTAAAACTAACATCGAGTTTTTATAAGCCTCTATTTTTATTTCGACAAAAAAGCAACAATCTATCTGCAAAGAATCAAAGCGAAAAGAAATTAACAAGCGGCTTTCAGTTTTTTTTGCTATTCTGCAAGCAGAGTGCAAGAAATCGACAACGTGCATTTTCCGGTGACCGCCTACCAACGATTGTCTTGGAAAAAGAGGGGACCCGTCTGACATGAGTTTGAGCATGCTTATATTGGATTGGATTGTCCTTGCGTATAGTGGACATACACGTTGGTGTTGCGTGTGTTATGCAAACATTTGACTCATGACTATGACCGAACGAAGAAAAAGACGGGCAGCTTCGGCGCGTTATTGTAATAAGATGGACTCTTACTGACTCTCGCAAAGAGCCGCATCCAATTTCCTGTTTTTGTGCACCAAATGCGTCGAACTTTGATGCCAGCGCAGAAGCTCAGATGCGTGTATAGCGTAATAGATTTCTTGCGCCTTCTAGACTATAGCGCATGTTTTGTTGGCACAGGGGTCAAAAACCCACACAGCCGAAGTTTAGAAGATGCTTCGCATTTCCACTGCAGAGACAGACGCTACGCTCTTTAACCCATTGACGACGACGCCTAATTTTGCATGGCGGTGCTGTGGAATGACGCGATTTTGCACAACACTTTCAGTGTGGGAAAGACTTGCGATTAATTGCAAAATGTAAAGTTGTTTTGTACTCAAATACTACCTACTTCATCTTCTTCGACGACAGGGTTTACGGATTCCGAGAGTGCAAAAGATTGGAAAAAATGCTGAACTGTGGAAGATACTAGACCTAGAAAGAACATGATATTGCAATGGATGTGGGCCACAGGTGGTTCACATCGTCGTCAATGGGTTAAATAGTATAGCACCTATTTGTCGATATGCATCAAGTATGAAATTAACGATTTTAGTCAACGATACTGGTTATCGTCAGTTTGGCGACTACACAATGAATACGCATCGATCGCGTCGATTGTATAAGTAAAAACAAGCAATTGATAGTTATATAAACGCCACCAACACTGGCTACTGGCGATTGCCAATAGCAGCGTTTGGGCAGCGCCAATATCAACGACGCGATCGTCATTCGTCTCTATCGAAGGGAGGTGCCGTGCTTTTCAAGAAGTGTAGCCGCGGCTTGAAGTTTGAGCAATGGATGTTGCAATAATGAGGGCACTGACCTCTCATGTCGATCGCTAGGTAAAAATGAGGATGCCCTTAAGTTTCGCATAAACTTTCCTGGAATGATATCCACGAAAGTCCATAATGGAGGAAAATGGACTTTCAAGCCCCATTTTACTCGTTCGCGGTGAAGAGTGGTCGGAATCTGCTTTCGCTCGCGTTATTCAAAAATTTTCATCCCATCGCAACCACGAGGCAAAGCGGTGAAATGAAAATGATTTAACCCCACCTGAGCTCTCGCTTGCGAAATGATGACGTCAAAAGTCCATTTAACATGGGGTAAAGTGGATTTACCTCCATTTTGAATGGACTCGAAAGCCCATTTTACCCCCAGCAGCAAGGTGAGCTGGGACTAAGCCCATTTTTGACCTTTTTGCATATTTTTGATTGCGATTTTTTGGGAATGTGTTGCTCAACCTATCCTAAGGTAATAGGTGAGTGGAAAAAGTTTCATGTCTTTTATGAAGTATGAAACAAGTGTTTCTTTCTAAACTCATAGAAACGCTATAAAAACATATAAGAAGACTAGCTGTCGTACCCGGCCTTGCCCGGGATAACATCACTTAGGGTTCACTGTCTTTGGATATATGTGACACTCAAAGCAGTAGTGTATCATTGAAGTTTGTTTGCAAAAATAAAAATAAAATGTGTACACTTTTACTCAACAGCATTGTCTCTCTTCTTTTCGAAACATGGAAGACGTGAAAAAACTTGAAGAGCAAGCATTGCGATATAGGTGGAAGGACGTTCGAATAATGTAGCGGCCATTGCTATCCTGAGGATCATTTTTCCTAGTACTTCGCCGCTAATCGGTTATTCTGTTTTAACTCCCGCACTCTACCCTCCTCTCCCGTACTACGACAAAAGTAAGTGCTTCTTTGGCTGTCCTTCAGGGAGCAAATACCTTTATAGCCAAAGCAACAGCCATTCTACCACGTTAAAGATATGTAATCCACAACTTGTGAGCCATTTGGATAACAGATTAATAAAAAAAACTCAAGGACTTCAGTCATTAAACAAAATTATGATGTAAGCTTTCAGATTGAGAGTCACGCTCATGCGGCTGGAATTCATGTCGGAGGTTCCAACGCTAGAGTGTGGCACGCAATCTGAGACAGCTTGCTCACATCTGCATCAAAAAAGGCTTTGACTTGCGTTAACAACACTA